ACAGGGCCCTTTTTGTAGGCTAAAGCCCTATCACTATCTTTTTTTTATTGTTTTGTTTGTCTTGGCTTGGATTTCTATGAATAACTCTTTGCCTCCCCCCCGCCCCTCCCCCATTCTAAAGTTTCTGTATCTGCTGGTGGTGAATCTTTTAACTTGCTATTTTCTCGCTCCTTTAAGGTGCCACATAGTTTTGTGCAGTTGCAGATTAACAGTGATGACCGAGGAAAGTACCTCCTTCAAAGCCAATGTAAACCAAACCTCTAATAACTGCCCTACCTTCCTCTCAGCCATTTTAGATGCAACCTATTCATGGATAGACTTGAGGCACCCCTGGATAGACTCAAGGGTTCCCTTGGAAAATGCCAGCTCTTAGTTTTCATTCTTTGTTTTGATTACAGAAAAATAGTCGAACAGTTTTTTTTCTGTGGCAAAGAACTCAAGACCACAACTATGGATTTCTATTTGAAATATCTCGGTTTATCTTGTGAATCATGTTTGCAAACCTAACAGCTAACATTGTGTGGCATCCTGTGGCACAGTTGAAAGGATCTCAAGCCAGAGTCACTGCTCTGGAGAGAAAACCTAGTTTCATGACTGAATTCCTCAGGGTTATAATAGATAACTATGGCGATTCTTGGCTGCTAGCTATGTAATATGGTCTAGAATTTTCAAAAAAGAGTCAAACACACTTAAAAAATGTGGTTGCCTCTTAAATTTAACAGATGTTGTAAAGTGAGAAAACTGGTCCAGATACAAGAGGTTTCTTAGTTTTTACCTGGATTCTTAAATGTAAAGAATTCACTTAGAGCTAGAGCTAATGGTGGAGCCCCACTCAGGAATAGAATATGTTTTGAGCTGTATTATCACACCCCAGTAAATGTCCCACTTTCTAATAGTTTGTCCCCTGGTTTGTGGTAGGTAGGGGGGTGGACCACTTAAGTGGAGTGGTAGGTAAATATCTAGTTTCAGTTGGATTAGGTTCTGAATAATTTTTCTTGAGGTTTTGGTTTGTGGAGTTAGGCTCGCTTGAGGGTTCCTTAAGAAACACCTTTATTGTATTAAAAAAGGCTCCAAATAATGATGTGATCATTTTAGAAACCAGTGGTTATTAGGGGTGTGTGAAATGGGCAGTATTCAATTTGGATTCGGCCTGAATCGGGGACAGTGATTCGACTTGTTGATTCGTATAACTGTCCCGAATCGATTCGGCCTAATCCGAATCTGAAGATTTGATGCTGATGCAGAGAATCAGTGTTTCAGCCATAGACACAGCTTCAAATGTTTTTTCTACGTATCTTGAGGTACCAGGTGCGACTCGTGAATGCTTGGGGACCCCCGTACTCCTCTCTGACTTGGCGATCAGCCGAGGGGGACCTTGGGTGCCCCTCCAGACCCAGATGGCACCAGTCACTGAGCCCAGGGGAGGCAGGGGGGGATGGTCCCTGTGCACTCCCTGGTGGACCCAGAAGTGAACTGGAAGTGCTTCTGGTCCACTTCTGGGTCTGCTGCTGAGCACATTGGGGAGCACTCCCCCCATCCCTGTGGGATGCTCCACCCATCCCAGCATTGCAGCATTCATGAGCCGCCTGGTACCTTGAGATATGTAGAAAAAACATTTTAAAGCTGTGTCTATATCCAAATCTCCGAATCTTTCCAAATCTCTCCAGATCGATTCAAAGGGTTCCAATTTGTTTCAGAGAGATTAAAGGGTCTCCTGATTTGATTCGGATTCAGAGATTTGGCCACAGAATCAGGCCGAACCTCCGCAGAATCGAATCGGGGACCAAAGCTTCACACAGCCCTAGTGGTTAACTCTGCCAGCGTTCTTCCCATAGTGTTGAGATGAAAATAGACAGGTTCAAGTTACAATAGTAATCACAACAATATATCATTTTTGGTCTTCCCAGACACGTCTGGTCTTTAGGGTAACCTTGTGTGGTGTTCTTCTGATGAACTCTTATTCTTAGCTTCAGAACTGCTTTTAACCTTTCCATTGTTGAATTTAAGTATAACCCCACAAAATATATCGAAATGCATTAAACTAATATTTTGCATGTTAGCATAATGAGCTAGTTGTTTTCTGCATCGCTTTAAAATTGTGTCTTGAAAATGTAGTAAGTGACAATGCTAGAAAATTAGAGACAAACCTGATGAAAGCCTTATGAGCCTTCACAATGGTAGGCTTGTGCTTTTTGTATCATTGACAAGAGAACTGTAAATTGTGAATGCCAAAATCAGATTATCTACAACAGCTTTCTATAAGCTGAACTAGTGGATTTGTAAAAGTAAGCTGAAATTCTCATAAGATATTTTTTTCTGAGCTTTCCACCTCTGCCTAGGGTAAGACATATAATAAGTAAACTTTTCTGAAGTTGTCTGAATTTCCAGTCCTAATCCTTAGTGAAATCCTGCACAACTATGAAAATGGAAAGCCAGGGGAAAAAAGTTATACAAAACCTTCCATAAAGTCTGGTTTGGGGCCCAAAGTTTCTTTTTTTAAATTCTATCTGTGTTCACATTCATTATGTTTAATTTCTGGTGTTATCATTTGGATGGTATAGAGTATTACTGCAGAAAGGAAAAGCTCCTAAAGTTGGGCATGGAAGGCAGGTATGTCACTTTGGGACAGATTTTAAAAATATTCAAGCCTCTAAAACATCCTCATGAATCTAGCCTTTAGTTTAAGAAGATTCTCAAAATTACACAGATGTTTAGGTCACTTTTTTAATGTTGAACATTCTTCAAATGAAATGGAAATAGAAAGGGCAGCAGTGTCATAGAAAGAGCTGTTCGTTAGAGATGGACTCAGACCAGAATAGCAGATCCAAAGCCATCCAAACTTTAGGGATATTCTGACCGGAGTTTTTCTGGATTCATCTCTACCCTTGCTTTGCTTGACTTTTGGACCAGATCCTGCTAATTTTAATCAAGCCAAACTCCCACTGATTTTACCACATGTCCGCATGTTTGATTAATTTGTCTCTAGTTTTCATTGTTTTACTTTTCTCTCGGTAAGTGAGAAACTAGGCTTTTTGGTAAGTCTTTAAAGGATCGAACCTTGGATGTCATAAAAAACAATGTTTTGCAAAAGGACAAATGGAAATATTTCCATTCTTTTAATAAAATTCCAGTGGAGATAGTTATTTTTAAGCAAATTATTCTCTGACATTCTCCTCAAGAATCTGAAACTGAAGGTACTCATACAAGTAGAAGAGAAACTTGTAATTGATTTTCATTATTCAGTTGAACAAAAGGGAAAGAAAGACTGGGATTTGGGGAAAGTGATTTGATATAAAATTTCTTTCAGTTTTAATCATCTGGGCAATTGTGGGAAAAAGAAGGTTCGATGCAGAAAAATCGTGTCTATTGGGTTATGTTGGGAATAGCATTTTGTTAGGGTGTTCTCAGGGAGGTGTTGGTTTTTTCAGTTGTTTTAAATAATGTCAAAGGCATCTGCAAAAAAAATAGATGGGTGCTTCTTATATGGTCTTTTAAATTGCAATAACATTTAAAACTATCAGTAAAATACATAACAACATATTTAAACAGATTTTGTTTTTAGTGATATGAATTCTAAGTTGATGGTGTTCCTATAATGAATTGGAGTCCTTTGAGAATGAAGCTTGTCATTAACACATCATCAGCTGATGCATTTTAATAATACATAGAGTTGGAGGGGAGAGGAAGTGTAAGCTACTGAAGCTTGCAAAACCCAATCCCCTGAAGCTTTCATGTTTTATTTGAGCATATGTTTTGGAAGTGGTGGTGTTGACACTGGTGGCACTAATCTCCTCTTTATCTTGTTTTGATTAAAAGGATATTTGAATTTTATTTTTGGCAAACTTTTATCTAGCCTCAAAGGGGTTCCCTTGTAACAGCTACAGAGAAACGGCCATAATAAACACATCATATGATACACTTATATCTCGTCTTATAGCTACTGCTTGGCACACTCCAGGGATGTGAAATGTTCCTGAAGAAATCTAATGAGTATTCAGTCAGTACCCGGCAGGTGAAAATATGAAGTTAAGTCCAGGAAATATTGTTGGTATATTTTTTTTCTTTCTGAAATTCAAGCCTGCAATTTTTTTTCAGCTAAGTAAAAATATTTTTTAAAAACCCAAACAAATCCCCACATGTATAACTGGGAGTCTTCAAATAGAAATATATTAGTTCAGGATTCAAGAGGTTCCTGCAGTTTTATGAACAACTGCTGCAACTTTTCTTATGCATCCTAGACCCACATAGTGTGCTGGGGGGCGGGGCGGGGATCTCCCATTTATCCTTTATAAGGTGTTTGCATTAGTATGTGATAATAGTGACATGAATTTTAATACTTAAAATGTATTCAAAAAGACACCCCATACCTTCTTTATAGTGATGTAATAGGTGGTGTGTCCTCTGATACAATCATATTTTAAGGACTGATTCTCATCCCCCGTGTTATGTGTTGTGTATAGAGGACAACAATCATATACACATTTGTATAGGCAAATATCAGAGCCTAATAGACAAAAGCATCAGAAAAGTCCCTTTGATTTCACTTGTGCAGGGTCAAGCCCTTAGTCCCTGTTTCAGATTTCATCATTGTTGTATGTTCTAGCTCTTCTGCTGGCTGTGTAATAGCCTCATGTATAATTTTGATTGTCCTTAGTGCTTGCTCTAATCAGACCAAGGGCACTTATTTAGGGCCATTAATGTGGAGTAAGGTACCTAACTCAAGGTTTAAAATTGTTGAGCACTTGCAGCTTCCACTGACATTAATGGGATCTACAGCTGTTCAGAATAGAAAATCAGGTCACTATTTTATGTGTGTGTCTTCAGGGAACTCTCTTTTGAAAATGCTGGTCTTTTAATTATCTAATACAGAAATACGTCTGTGCCAAAGGCCTGCAGTACAGGTCCTTTAACACTTTACCATACTGCTGTAGGGATTAAACTGTGGAATCAACTGACATTTAACTATTGGTTGCAGTGTGTTTTACTCTCTATCCTCTCTAAATTGTGCTTTTCAATTAAAAGGTTTCCAGATAATTCATATTTTTTCCACCTTCTCATACAGAGATGAATGATTCTGTCCCTCCTGAGTCTTCTGCTCTCCGCAGGCCAGGTCCGTCCAAGGTGGTTATGTCACTTTTGCTTGGTTTCCTCTTAAGACTCACACAAGAAGGTGAAGAGATTCTCCCCTTCCTCGACCTGCTCATCTTCCTCATAGGGCACAAACAGAGATACGGAGCTCAGGGGTTCCTGTACTTCCAATTGTTTCGTCTCCTCCTCTTTCTCATGCAACATAGGTGGGAGATTTTGACTCTCCTGTTGTTGCCCCTTGTCTTGGGACACGCGTGGGACTGTGGTGTTTAGGAGATCTTGTCTCTTCTGCTGTTCTTCCTCCGCATGGGGCACACACGAGGATATGAACTTGTGTGGATTGCGTCCATCCTGCAGTTCCCTGTCCCTGTCGTTCTGGGGCATAATATTCTGCTGACTCTGTGTATCCCGCTGCTGCTTCTTGTCATCACAGAGAACGACTGGGATCAAGTTGGTTTGGTGATGCTGTCTCATCTTCTTACACTCTTCATAATGTGGAAGGACTATTCTTAGGCTCCTAGTATTTTCCTTCCTTACCTGCTCTTCATCCACTAGGTTTCTAGCCAGGGATGACATACTCTGAGACTCTGGCCCCATAGGCTGTGGCTCCTTCTTGTACAGTACACCTCCATAGTTGTCCTCTTTGTACGATGCACCCTCAGACTCAGAGCTCATTTGGCTTTGTTTCTTTTCATAGGTTACTTCCAAGGATGAAGTCCTCACGTGTCTCTTAGGTTCTTGCTCCTCCTTGTTTGGTACACTTTGGTAGTCCTGTTCTTCCTTGTAAGGAGCACCATCAAAAATCACATTTTCTTGCTGGTCTTCTTCAAAGGTTACTCCTAGGGACAATGTGCCATGGTGCACAGGTCTTGTAGGTAGTTGCTCCCAATTTTGTGCATGGTGGTAGTTTTGTTCTTCTTTGTAAGGTCCACTCTCAGACCTGGGGCTTATAAGACTTGTGCTTGGGCACAACATGTTGAAGTGGTCCTGTTTCTTCTTCATTTTCTTTTTCTTATACTGCATATTTAGGAAAACTGCATGTAGGTGCTTTTGCTCCTGCTTTTCTTCATTGTGGCATATGTCTACAGGCACAGCATTTAAATTGCCTTTGACTTTCTTGTTGTATGGCTTAAAATGTAAAAGCAAAGCATCCCCATGGTCACGTTCATGCAAAGGCTCGTGGTAGTCTTGTCCAGTCTCAAGACACTCCTGCTTGCTAGCCTTATCAGCCAGGGGTATTTTCTTATTTCTTTTCTTTTTTGTCACCTTTTTCACAGAATTTGACTCTGTTCTGCAGAGAAGGAAATTAGGAATTAAGAACTGAGAACAAATGGCAGCTGTAAAAACTTGTATCTCAGCCTAAACCCTACATTACACTGTCTTAAGAGCTACACAGACTTCAAATAACACACTTGATTGCCATCCTCACACTTAAGTAGTCCTTGATGCTATCCTCTGTGGAACAAGGACTGTTTGTTTAAATACCTTAGTCCATTATATTTGTGGCACAGGAGAAGTCATTGTACTAAACAGCATCCACACATACCTTCTTTGAAAGCAGCCAATACAACAAAATGCTAAATTCCTGAAGGAACTGCTGATGTCTGGAAGATGATCTCTTTCTCCCGTATTAGCTGTTGCCATTGCTGAATCTTCAGTAACGACATCAGCTCTACTCATGCTCCCAAACAGACCAAACGGTAGTCAAAAAGTAACTGCCTCTTAATTTGCCATCAGTTCCCCCAACATCTTTCAAAGGATTTATGAATCCGTCCAAGCCGGTTCAGACAGGGAGTAAAATGGACATATTTGGCAGCTGGTTTCATCAGTATCGTCATAGCATGTTTGTCTCCTGCTGAGCTCATCATTATGACCTCATCAGTTCTGGGATGTGAAAGACTGGTGCCTGAGCAACCGTGGCACTTTCAAATCCAAGTAATAAGCAGTTTGCCACAATGAAACATCAGATTTCTTTGTATATATTTTGAGTCTGCTGCTTTATAAATTGTCCTCCTCGGGCCTCTTGAGAATGCTGAGGACCCTGAAGTAGAAATAATAGCTGAAGTAAAGAGCAGCTACTATGGCAGTGGTATATATGGGGAGTCTCTGTTTTCTGTCCGAGCCATCTTCAACACGGCATCTAAGTGCCCGCGCAAATATTAATAAATCTAAGTTACAATATCCCTGTGAAATAAAGAGATATTATCACCATTTGGCAGAGGGCAATATTCTGTTTGCTTCCATCTCAGATGTATTCGACTATGAAGAAAATGTATTGAATCAGAGCAATACAGCTGCATTTCAGAAATATGAGTTAATTTCTGTTAACCAACTATAACTGTTAATCTGGTTTATAACAGTTATAGACATTATCAACATCCAACAAATCACGTTTCTTCAAATCTTTTCAGAAAACAACAGTGAAATTTAAGTAAATCTCTTTAAAATACTGAAATTTTCTTTCAGTATTTTAGGATACTAGGATGCCTAGGATGACAAATATTGTGGCTGAATAAATTATGGCCCAGTTCAAAGTCCACTGATGACAAAAGGGAATTTTATCCAAAACTTCAGTTCATTAGGTTTTGCATCATGCCATTTCTTAGTACTGATTTATCATCTCCCACCTTTACTTATATTTCAATAATACAATATCGAGGATAGAATCTGACTGTTCAAAATGTTAGTAGCTTTTTTTTTTTCCTCCAATGCTGCCCATGTTTGACCAGCCCCCTCTTGAAGGTAGTTGGCTTCTACCTCCTTGTTTAGTCAGTGGTGATGTAGGAATCAGTCCTTGGTGCTAGAAGAACTAATCAGTACTGTACTGTAAGGACCTGGTTTGGCCAGTCACCATCTGAGTTTACATCGGGAGCTGGATTGCTTTCAGTGGTGGCAGACGACAGAACAAGGAGCAATGGGCTCAAGTTGCAGCAAGGGAAGTTGGGGTTAGATGTTAGGAAGAATTTTCTCACTGGGAGGGTAGTAAAACAGTGGAATGGGTTACCCAGAGAGATGATGGACTCTCCATCCTTGGAGGTTTTTAAAACCTGGCTAGACAAAGGCCTGGCTGGGATGATCTAGTTGGGGATGGTCCTGCTTTGAGCCGGGGGTTGGACTAGATGTGACCTCCTGAGGTCTCTTCCAACCCTAAATGTTCTATGATTCTAGATTCTACATTCTGCAAATGTTGGTTATTTAGGAAATACTACCTGGAATATTACTGATGAGCCACAAATAAACAGTGTATTTCTTGCTTGAGACTGTTAGGGTTAAGCCACACTTGTCCATGTCTCTGGAGGTTCAGTGTTGTAAGAGGGAGAACATGTTCATGGTAAAACTGGACAAACTGAGGGGATATTGAGTTTCACACAAAGCTTTGAGGTATCAGGTGGTTTACTAGTGCTTCTAGTTTTGGAAAGGATATCTTTCCAGAGATTTGACATTTTTTTTTGTCGCCTTTCCATTTTGACAGCACACAAGCGTTTGATAAGGAAGCATTGTTGGAGGTCATGAAAATATTTTATTGAATCATCTTACCAAGGAAGCCCAGCTGCATCTGTAGCTTCTACCCTTTAATAGCAGAAAGGGGAGTTTTTAAGCAATAGGTTATTTTTAAAGTTATTTAAGAATATTTAAAGGCTAGTTTATTAGAACAAAAAGCTGCAGGTACTGCATGAACTTTACAGGCTACGTTGACTTTCTATAGAATAGCAGGTTATGTTAAAAAATCTTCCACTGAGTAATACAACATTTCAAGAAGTTGGTCTTTGATGGTAGGTGTCAGTAAAAGGGACTGGATACGCAAATAGAACCTTTGACGTTAATGTTGATAATACAATACTTAGCACTCATATAAAGCTTTGCATTTTCAAAAAACCACTGCCTTGGCTCACCTAGGCTTATATTGTTAGATCCATAATGTAGTGTTCTTTCACTGTAGGGCTAACCATTTGACATATGTGTTCCTAATAGGGCATTTTAGATCTCAGTTTTATTTTAAGAGCAATCATTGTAATGGCTACCAACGTATCCCACCAAGACACGGTGCATTTCTTATTGCTTCTGGACACTTGTTTCCCTTATAATTTTCATCTCTTCCACATGAACTAACCCTACATGTTAAGTACTTGAAGAGTCAATGTTTTAATCAATATAAGGCTTTTTATAGGTTGGGTTTACACAGGGGATGCGGGGCAACATATCTCCCCTGGGTTGAAAAAGAACAGACTTAAATTACAGAGCTAGCTCATGCCTACACATCAAAATGATGAGATGACTTCTTTTTTTTTTTTTTACCCCTCACAACTTCATAAATCAAGGGCATGTGCAGTAATTGGGTATTTGTTTATAGGAGCTATGTAAAATGCTCTGTAGCAACCAAGTGAAGCACCCCTCCTGAAGACAGCATGAGAGCGGTGACTGGCTTTCATTTCAAATTATTTTTCTGGTGTGGAATAATCCTGACTAACATCATACAACATGAAAACCCCTCTGTAATATGGCAACACATTTTAATCCTTACAGTCAGTAGCAAAGAAGAGACAGCAGATGATTTTGATATGTAGGCCATATTGCATCTTTATCGAATCAGTAGGCAACTACAGAAGGGGTGTGGTCCCTCCTCCTCAATCTCCTACAAATCAGTAGGAAACTGCAGGAGTGGGGTCCCAGCAGCCTCATTCCCCTTTCAGTAGCATTGTTCTGTAATTATGGGAGTGAGGGAAGAAACAATAATTGTTCTGGGGTAACATCTTATAGAATGATAGCAGGTAATTTCAATGACTCCATCCATATGAACATGTCCAGCCTGCGGAGGCAAGTCTGAGGAGTAAAGGAGCCCAGGAGAGCTGCCTCTTCTTTATGGAGGCACTTTTTAAGAGCACAGGAGCGATCTATCCTGATGCAACAGAAGAATGGGAACTGCGTCAGAAGGCCAACTTGTATAGACAGTGGTCTCTTCCATGAGTTGAAACTCAAAAAGCAATCCTACAAAAAGTGGAAATGTGGTCATAAGAGTATCATACAGGCACACAGGAAGAAAATTAGGAAGGCCAGGACGTGATCTGTGATGCAACTGGAAAAGGATTTAAAAGGCAATAAAAAGGGATTTTACAGATATGTCAAGAGTAAGAGAGACTGAAGAAACCACAGGTCCCTAACACAATGCAGAAAGCATTCTAATGATGGATAATACAGAGAAAACTGAAGCAGTTAATGCCTTTTTTTATGTGAGTCTTCATAAATAGGAACAGCGACCAAATGACAAGTGCAGTTGACAGCAAAGATAGGGAAGAGTTCAAACAACCTAGAGTAATGGCAATATAGGTTAAGGATTACTTAGAGAAACTAGATGCTTTCAAGTTGGCAGGACCTGGATACAATACACCCTGAAATACTAAAAAAAAAACAGCTGGAGTAATTTCAGAGCCACTAGATAGCCTCTTTGTGGAGGTTGGATGAAGTCCCAGATAATTGGAAAAAGGCAAATATAGTGTCCATTTTTAAGAAAGGAAAGGACAAAGATTCAAGGAACTACAAACCAGTCAGCCTGACCATGATACCAGGAAAGACCATGGAGCAAGCCCCCAAAGATTCTAACAAGTGTCTAGAGAAAGACAAGGGGTTCAGAAATAGCCAGCATGGATCCACCAAGAGCAAGTAATAGCAAGACCAAACTGATTTCATAAAAACATAGAAAATTAGGGTTGGAAGGGACTTCAGGAGGTCAAGTCCAATCCCCTGCTCAAAACAGGACCATCCTCAATTATATCATCCCAGCCAAGACTTTGTCTAGCCAGATCTTAAAAACCTCCAAGGATGGAGATTCCACAACCTCTCTGGGTAACCTGTTCAAGTGCTTTACTACCCTCTTGGTGAAAATTTTTTTCTAATATCTAACCTACACTTCCCTTGCTGCAACTTGAGCCCATCACTCCTTGCTCTGTCATCTGCCACCACTGAGAACAATCCAGCTCCATCCTCTTTTGAACCCCCCTTCAGAGAGTTGAAGACTGCTATTAAATCCCCTTTGTCTTCTCTTCTCCAGACTAAACAAGCCCATTTCTCTCAGCCTCTCCTCATATGTCATGTTCACCAGCCCCCTCACCATTTTCATTGCCTTCTGCTAGACTCTCTCCAATTTGTCTACGTCCTTTCTGGATGGGGGGGTGCAAAACCGGACACAGTGCTCCAGTGGCCTCACCGGGGCCAAACAGAAGGGAATAATCACTTCCCTTGAACTGCTGGCAACACTCCTACTAAGGCAACTCATTATGCGGTTAGCTTTTTTCACAGCAAGGGCACATAGTTGGCTCATATTTAGCTAATTGCCCACTGTAATTCTCAGGTCCTTTTCCTCAGAGCTGCTGCCCAGGCAGTCAGTCCCCAGCCTGTATCAGTGCATGGGATTATTCTGTCCAAAGTTCAGGACTTAGCACTTGTCCTTCTTCAACTTCATGAGATTTCTTTTGGTCTAGTCCTCCAATTTGTCTAGGTGTCTCTAAATCCTAGCCCTGCCATCCGGCATATCAGCTACCTTACAGTCCATTCAGCCAACCTGTACTTTGTTAACTTTCTTATGAGAATGTTGTGAGAGACCATATCAAAAGCTTTGCTAAAACCAAAGTATATTATGTCCACTGCTTTCCCCCCATCCACAGACCCAGTCATCTTATCATAGA